AAGGCATCCTCCCCATCCCTTTCTCTCTCTCCCCACAGCTCACTCAGGTCCTAACTGTCTTCTGCTTCCCTTCCCCCAGATAAGTATCTTTCATATCAAATCTGTCATATACGTGGTATATTTTTAAACGTGTCATAACAATCACAGCTGGGGGAACGACACACAGATGTGTGTGCTCAGACATGACGTAAGCCCCACCCACCGAGAAAATGGCGCCGAGAGATACATCTGAGGCAGGGTTCGCACACCCCTCTCAGTTACATATATGTAAAGTGGGATACACTGAAGTCCACTAAAATGAGCTCATAAGATTCCAAGAATGAAGGGTGAAGGGGTACAAACACTCCAAGTGTCTCTTTACTAACTGCTTTCTATAAGCGTATCAATGTATTTTGCCTGAACTATATACTTGTCAAATAAGGGATTTTTAGATTTATTTGTATTTATGTCTTTCTGTGGATGCAGTGTGTTCAGAGCCCGGAAGAGGGCAAAAGAAGCCCCTGGAGCTGCAGTAACAGGTGATTATGAGCCTGTGGTAGTGGATGCTAGGAACTGGGCTCAGTTCTCTCCAAGAACAGCTCACGCTTTTACCACTAAGCCACCATACCAGCTGAAATTTTTTCTTAATAAAGTTTCCCAAGATAAAAATTAGCACCAGACTATAGTTCCCTCATGATTCCAAAAGTATGAGCTAAAGAGAGGAAAGGAAGCACCTCACTCAAGCCAGCCTTCACCCAAGCCAGCCTTCAGCCTTCAGCCCTCAGCCCTCAGCCCTCAGCCCTCAGCCCTCAGCCCTCAGCCCAGCCAGCCCTCACCTGAGCCAGCGCTCTGGTTTCCCGTTTCAGTTTCTCTGCTTCAGGAAAGCAGTCCTCTAGGAATGAAAGCTCTTCCAATTCCTGTTTTCTTCTTTTGAGATCCTGCCACAGACAGGGGCTGCGTTGAGTGCCCTTCCGTGTCTCACGGGAGTATGTAAGATTCATGTGGCTGAACACAGAGCTCCACTATACACAGTGTTGGATTGGATTCAGCTGCTAATACTGAGCTGTAGCCTCCAAGTGGGCTCTTACGCCTGAAGGCCAATCTGTGAGACACCATTTGCTGCTGTGACACAAGATGATCCGACTCGAGGTGTCCTAGTGTGAATCAGAGCAACGGTCCCATACTGCACTAGCTGGGCATGGGGGCTGCACACAAGAACATCCTGATGAGCAGAGGGCAGTATTCGCCCTGCCAAATCCTAACCCCAAGAATCCAACTTTTTATGCTTTGTGTGATACAATGGGAAGACGGCAGTAAGCTCTGATACACATCAAAGGCAACAGTGTCCAAGCAATCACCTGAGGGATTGTTTGAGCGAGTTGGTGGACATGCTCTCAAAAATGTATGAACTAAACACAACAGGCCAAGAACAGAAATCAAAATGTATGTTTGGAATGATATAGCTCAGCATCAAGCAAAAATTTTGGTAAAGACTGCATGTGATGAACATGCATGCAGTCTTAAAAAAAAATCTGGTTTGATTGGCAAGGACACTAACATAGGTGGTATTGTTTTCTCTCTCTTTATTCATTCATGGAACCTGAGTTTCTGTGTGTAGTCCTGGCTGTCCTGGAACTCGCTTTGTAGACCAGGCTAGCCTCAAACTCACAGAGATTTACCCATCTCTGTCTCCCACGTGCTGGGATTAAAGGAATATGCCACCATGTTGTTTTTCTTTGAGATGGGGTCTGCTATGTAGCCTGTGCTGGCCTGGGACTTGCTATGAAAACTAGGCTACCTGTTCCTCCCAAATGCTGGGGTTAAAGGCCTGTGCCACCACACCTCATACACGCGTGATGTTCTGACAGAGAACAAGACACTTTGTTTGGAGGTAAGTCAGTCACTGACCCCGCACATTCTAAGAAAACAATGCAGGGTGTTACAGAGCAATGCCTGGTTGCTCAGGGGTAGTAACGTGTGCCCACCAGTTCCACAGATTCCACATCAGAAGATCACTCGCTAAGCTTTAGAGGGTGGCATGTGCCTGTGGTCCCAGCTACTCAGGAGGCTGACGCAGGAGGACCACCTGAGATTGAACTTTGATCCTAGCTTCAGCAACACAGCACACCTGTCACAAAAAGGAAGCAGCAGCCTCCACCATTTGTGTAGTTTAGGCAGTACCCAAGAACACCACAATGGTCTGAAAAGCTAGCAAGATGTTTTCCCATCGCACATGCCAGGACATGTGCTGGCCATGAGCTTCAGGGATCCACCAGTATCTGCTCCCAGAGCTGGAGCTCTAGGCAGCCAGTACAGCTAGATTTTCATGTAGAGCTAAGACCTCATGCATTTATACTTTGCCATCTGAGCCATCTCCTGGCCCTGTTTCATCTCCCCTCCCACCCCCCTACTCCATCATCTATCTGTGCAAGGTGAGCTTTTTCTCATATGCATCTGTTGAAACAAACAAAATGCTGACATTACCTTGAGAACCCAGGTGTCTTCTGTTAATCTAGATGCTCAAGAGATTTTTAAAAACATGAGCAATGCAGCCAGATATGGTGGCACATGCCTTTCGTCCCAGCACTTGCGGCATATCTCTATGAGTTTGAGGCCATTCGGTCTACACAGAGTTCCAGAACAGCCAGAACTGCAGATAGAGCCCCTGGTTTGTTTTGTTTTGTTTAAATCAATGAAGACACTTACTTCCCTAACTGAAAACGTGCAAGAGGCGATGTCCCACATTCACAGCTGCGGAAGGGCGGGGCACACGGGGAAGGGCGGGGCTGCGGAAGGGCGGGGCACACGGGGAAGGGCGGGGCACACGGGGAAGGGCGGGGCTGCGGCAGGGCGGGGCACACGGGGAGGGGCGGGGCTGCGGCAGGGCGGGGCACACGGGGAGGGGCGGGGCCGCTGAGGGGCGGGGCCGCGGAGGGGCGGGGCACACGGGGAGAGGCGGGGCACACGGGCCGGCTGCAGCTGCAGACGGCAGCACCGCGAGCACATTATTTACTTTCTCTTCCAGCCGACGCCATTTCTCTGTTTCTATCCGTTGTTGCTCTAGCCTTTCCTGTTCTTCTTTTTCAAATCTCACTCGAGCCTCCTCTGAAGAACCAAAAAGAAATCAAGAACTAACTGTAGGGTTCAACCACAGTGTTTTAGACTCTTGAGGCTGCTCGGAGTATTTCCAACACAGAGTATAACCTTTAATGAGGGTCACAGCCTGGACTCTGTGGCAGAGATGAGAAAAGTGCTCACATTCCAGCCAAGAATTTCATGAGTCAAATACATTATATACTTGTATGAAGATATACTTTTGAGAGCAGTTCTGTGCACAATGAATATCCACCAACTGAGAAGAGAGGACATGACTCAGTGTCTCATAACAAGGAGGTCCACAATGGTCCATACACACAGATACACCAGAGAGAGAGAGAGGAGGGAGGGAAGGAGACAAGGAGAGAGAGAGAGAGAGAAAGAGAGAATTAAAATAAATGTAAAATAATAGCAATTCAATAATGAATTTAAGCCACATAGCAGCTCTATCATGGTTGATTAAGGGGAAATTAGATTTTCAAAAGTCTATAACTGGTGTCAACACTGTCAGAAAACTATTACCTTAAGCTTCTCCTGCTCAAACTATTTAAAATAAAATACTAAATATCAACTCTAGTGAGGTGGCTCAGTGGTTAAGGGCACTGTCTGCTCTTGCAGAGGTCCTGGGTTCAATTCCCAGCACCCACATTGCAGCTCACAACCATCTATAATTCCAGTTCCAGGGCATCCAACACCCTCTTCTGGCCTCCTCAGGCACTGCATGCATGTGGAGCACAGACATACATGCAGGCAAACACTCATCACATAAATAAAAACACCTAAAACAAAGTGTTGAAATACATGAAATATATGTTGACGGACATGAGATAAACCCAAGCTCCTGGTACTGTATTTTTAGTCATTTAAAAAGGACTTATAAAGGCCAACAGGATGGCTCAGATGGCAAAGGCACTTGGCGCCAAGCCATCTGATGGCTCAAGCTTGATTTCTGGATCCTATGCGTGAAAGGAAAAGACTCCTACACGTTGTCTTCTGACTTCCACATGCATGGGAAAGTATGAACGTCCCAGTAAATAAACACATCTATAAAATCAGTTAGCAATCAAGAGAATGTGCTTCTTCTGTGGCCTGGTCATGCTGCTTCCCCCTCAGGGGGAGGTAATCAAAGAGCAGGCCAATCAGTTCATGTCAGAGACAGTCCCTGTTCCTATTACAGTGGAACCCACTTGGATACTGAACTGCCATGGGCTACATCTGTGCAGGGGTCTTAGGTTATCTCCATGCATTGTCCTTGAAACCTAATTGACTAGGATCAGAAGGAAGGAAAAGAAGTCCTCCCCTATCAGTGGACTTGGGAAGGGGCATGCATGCAGAGGGTGGAAGAAGGGAGGGATTGGGACAGGAGGAGGGAGAGAACCACAGGGGGGATACAAAGTGAATAAAGTGTAATTAATAAAGAAAAAAATAAATGTGCTAAAGTACTTTTAAAAGACAAAAAAAGAGAGAGAGAGAATGTGCTTTATTATTTACAAAAGACAAAGTATACATTAAGGTCAACAGAGCCTTTAAAAGAAAAGCCTGAATATAAATCTACAAACACTGGATTCTAAGAGTCTTAACCACCAGGAGCATGCAGACTTTAAAAACCACTCTCTAGCATTTTAATTGGCCAATACATTTATCATTATTTAATTTGAATGGGATTTCTAGTTTAACTAGCAAATAGATATTGTTAACATCGGAAAGCTGAGCTCAGGAGTTAAGAGCATGGGCTGCCCTTGCAGAGGACCCAAGTTTAGTTCCCAGCATCCACATCATGCAGCCCACAACTGCCTGTAAGCTCCAGATGAACCCAACACCTCTGACCCCATGGGCACCCGAAATCACTGTGCATACCCACGTTCACACACACACGACATAACAAAAAATAAACAGCATAAATCTTAAAGAAAACCTCAGGGTTTAAAAAGAAGGCAAGCTGTTGTATGTAGCTTTTGCTAGTATGTACCTCCCATCCTTAATAAATTTTAGGTTCAGAATTCTTACCACACAATCGGCACCAATGTCCCCGTTTTCATTAGTATATTATAAACATGGCAGGCCTGACAATATCAGCACCTAAAAACATGGGCTGATCAGCTGAATTTGAATTTCTGATAAGCAATGATTGTTTTTGTTAATGTCAATACAGCCCAAATATTGTGTGGGGTAAAATATCAAAAGATCAGCTGTTTGTCAGAAAGGGATTATGCTGAGCTCTGGGCTCTATCTGGCCACACTCTGGTGCACATTCGGAGGTACCTGTGTCTTTGTGAGTGCACTCTAGGAGTCCTTGACAAAATCCGTGCCTGTGGAAACCTGCACGGCTGCCATCAAGTGGCTAATGTTCTGGGCTGCGAGGTCCGGGCAGGCGTTCAGTACCTGCCTCCTTCAGGCGTCTCTCCTCCTCCTCCTGCAGCAGGCGCAGTTGCTCCGCTTTGCTGATCTTTTTCTTACCACCAGGCTTAACAAAGACCACAGTGTTAAACAGGCTGTCAGCACACTCCTCAGCTACTCTAGACACCTCCCTTCAAACAGCAATTAGATGCCACTGGAGACAAAGTCCAGCTCAGCAGTTAAGAGCGCGTACTGCTCTTCCCATGACCCATGTCAGGCAGCTTACATCTGTAACTTCAGCCTCAGGGGATTAAATGCCCTCCTCTGGCCTCTTGGGGCACCCATGGTGCACACAAAATCACACAGGCATGCATTCAGACACATACATTTAAAATATAAATTTAAAATAGCAATTAGAAAAATAATTTCGGATTTTATGAAGCCAATTTTAATGTACATCAATTCAATATGCAAGATAGCTAACTGGTGCCAGCATAGACTCTGGGCACTACACGGATAAGTCTCAAAATAAACAAGAAAAACAATAATATAAAGCATTACACATAACCCTTGAACTTCCAATTTGTAGAAGCAAGTAAAACACCTCTAATGGCAATTTGAAACTGAACATCTATAAACACTGAAGACATTTCTGTATCTATTTTAAGGATGTCCTAACTTCAGAATGGAAGAGAGAAAATGCGTTGTGTTGGGGAAGAGGTTTTGCCTTTGCTTCAATAGGAGAAGAAATGTTATGGATTCCATCAAAATTAATAAGGATTAGATTTGACTGAGGAAGGCTTCCTGAAGATCTAGGCAGTACACATAAAGGAAGAAACCAAGACGAACAACAAAACAGGTAAAGTATATGCTGATCCCTTTTCATGAAAACAGATCTGAGACAGGCTGAGACATGAATGTCTCACTAAGCATAACCAATAATTCTTGTTGGCTACAGAGTCCTCAGGACTTATCATGCCATCCTTTCATAAGGCGTAGATAAAAATTTATACTATGGTTTGGTTTTACAATCCAAACTGACTTATAAAGAAAGATGCCTTATCTGCTCAAGCAAAGGGCAAAAAATGAAGAATCCTCTTTAGCTGAGCTGTACACACCACACATTTCATACATGTGTTGATACAGAAATGTATATTACTTTTGAAAGTTTATAAGCTCACAGAGAAAAACAACCAGAGACCAGTGAAGTTAAAGTGACCCTGACAAGACTCATCCTCGAAGATGCCGAGACACTGAGACATATTCATCCCAGCATTCTACTTGATACAGCCTTAGACTGACTCAATAGCTGTTTCATCAAAACTCTTTCAGAACAACCTCAAAATGGCTGACCCCATTTGTTCTAGCCTCTCAGACTGTTCCAGTCAGGACTGCAGTTAAGCCTTGCACTTTCCCATCATGCAGAGACTGGACAGCAAATGATACAGCTAGCTTTCTTAAGATTGGCCAATATCCCAATCTTCTTAGCACCCCCCACCAAAGAAAGGTCATCCCCAGATAGCAGGAAACAATTTTAGATAATGATGTCCAATTTCCAAGAGATGGGATGGGTTTTAGTCATTTGGTGGGTGACAGATGTTTGTCATTGTTTAAGGAAGGGGGCTGGTCATAAGTTATTAATGGTCTTGATCCAGGATGAACCAAAGTAAGGGAGGCTGGATTCAGGGATCTCCTTTTCTTTCTTTTTTTCCTCTATCCTTCTTTCTCTTCTGCCTAGTATTATAGGAGAAAGGGAGGAGTGGCGATAGAGGGGCAGGGCTGAAAAGACAAAAGGGGGGATAATTAAGAAATTCAAGTTAAGATTTATGGGTGTATTAGATACTAGTTTAGTTAATTACAGAACTACGTTTCCTAGATAGATAGTAAATAGTTAGAAACAAATTTGTAGATAGATGGTCTTCAAAAACCTCAGAGATCTGCAGAATATGACATTTAAAGATGTTTTATTAATAAAAGGCCTTTTTGACTGTAAGACCTTTCTGATCCTGGCAGCACCCCCATTATACTTCAAAGAAAATGATGGGCATCAAAGAACTTCCATATGGAATTTGCTTCAATGTGGCATGCTGGCCATTGGGTGAGAAACTGCCCTTGCCCCAATGCAGACAGCATGCTGTCCAAATTGGACAAACAGGAAGCAGGAAAGTTGACTACTGAGCTTTGCCAAGATAAGGTAGGTAGTCCTACCTTTATAATTCCTGCTTCACAAAAAAAGTCTGTCAGATATTCTGGACCAGTAGACCGAAGAGATGGATGTTCCAATGTTGCAAAGGAATCTTGGGTGACTGTCCAGGCAGCCAGCTGTCTCTGTTGTATCTACAGTTTAGGAAGCTGCTTGTTCTGCACTTCCTGTTTACTCAGGGAATATTGACCCTTTGCAGGTCTCTGATAGGTTGAAGACTAGATAGTTATAGTCTCACATTAAGCTTAAGTTGCTGAGTATTTAAGAAAGTGTTTTAGGATCTAAAAAGATATTTCTAGATTGATAACTGTAAGATAGAAAATTATTTAGGCACAGAACTTTGGACTCACCAAGATAGTGTGGTACTGTCTTCAAGGGGACAAAGACATACGGACTGGTCATCGTGAATGTAACTCTTACCTGATAGTTTTTACAATGATTCTTATTGTGCACACTCTATTAATGTTAGAGAAGGGGCCTTTTATTGCACTAAAGTGGAAAGATGTAGGGTGATCTCTTGTGTTCTGGATGGAAACGTCGCCTGTCAATAAAAATCTGATGGCCGTAAACTGAGGCAGGATTTGAAGCTGGGACTTTGAAAGGGAGAACGAAACTCTAGGATAGAGTCGGGAGAGGGGAAAAAGATTTGCCACCTGGACGCAGAGGAAGCCAGATGCATAAAGCAGAGGAGAGGTAACCAGCCACGTAGTTGAACACAGGTTAGTACAAATAGGATAAGAAATTATGAGTTAGTCAGAAAATAAGCCAAAGCTGAAGGCTTTGAATCAGGGGACTGGGGTGCATGAGAAAAGCCTGCGATTAGACAAGGCCCTAGGTTCAGGCCCCAGATAACATGCTACTGGCCATACATAGCTAACAGGCTGAAAGTAAATAATGGGCCGGCAGGACAGCTCAGGAGGTAAAGGCACTTGCTGCAAGCCTCAGCTCAGTCTGCAGGACCCATGTGGTAGAAGGAGAAAACGGACCCCTGTAAGTGGTTTCTGACTGCCATGTGTGCCTTGGCATGTCTACATACCCTCCAACGTGCACACATGCAATATGATGAAAGACGTAGAGCTGAGGCACATTCTCATCACGTGTTGGGAACCCAGAGAGCAGACAGTCAATCCTCAGCCTGTCCCCTAGTCACAGGACCCCATGACAGCCAGGGTTCACAGCCTCAGGTCCAGACATAACGCAGCAGCAGTGTTTGCCTGCAGCCTCTGTGTATCCTGTATCCTAGACGTTAACTCACCACTCCAGGCGGCCACATTCCCTGTTCAGCAACACTCCACGGAAATGTCTGCACCTGTTCACCGCAACAGTTCTTATCACCGAAACATTCCAAATGGTTTCCTCTGGCTCTCTGAGACACACGGTGTCCTATTTACCACATTTAACCAAAAAAAATCATATGCATGTGAGTGTTTGCCTGCATGCGTGTCTGTGCACCAGGTGCATGCCTGCTTTTCACAGATCAGAGGTGTCAGATCTCCGGAACTAGAATTATCGGGTCGAGCGCCACCATGTGGCTGCTGGGAACTAGGTCCTCCGCGAGAGCAGCAAGAGCAGCAAGTGGTTTTAAGCACTGAGCTGTCTCTCTAGCCCCCATTATCACTTTTTTTTTTTTTTTTTTTTTTTTTTTGAGACAAGGTCATTGTGTAGCTGAGGCTGGATTAGAACTTGTGGTCCTCCTGGCACTGGGATCACAAGAAAGCACAACCATGCCCAACATTCTGGTCATATTTCTGAAAAGAACTCTTAATCCACATTTGGTTTAATCCGTGGGTGCAGAGAGCTGAATGTAACTGATTTTTCAAGGGAGTGGGATTTATGGAGAACACACTAGTGAGATATGATTTAAAGCAGATACGTTAAACCTCCTGCTGTGGTCAAGGAAGTATCAAAGAAACAGCTCTGACCACAGGCGGACCATGGCAAGATAAAGATGCTTTTTGCATTGCTGAAGGAGGCGGCCTCTGCTGAGCCTCACACACTGCTGATTTACCTCAGGACCTCAGGCCCAACGGGATCAGCTTCACTGTTTCATGACTAGAACGCATCTTTGGCCACTGCTTTTAAATTGTTTTATTAGACTTTATTTGGGGAATGGGAATGTCTGGCCAAACATGAGAGGGTTTTTGGCCCTGGCTGGTGTCAAACTCTTGATCTTCCTATTTAACCACCACACCAGCTAGGATTACAGGTATGAGATTACAGGTATAGGATTACAGCTAGGACACACTTGAGAACTGATATTTTTTTTTTAAGAAATTTTTTTTTCCAAGTAAAATAGAATCTGTTGGTAGGCTAAATCTGGCCTGTAATTAGGAGATTAAAATTGATTAAAGAATCAATCTCCAAAATAAAGAGAGAAAAAGACACCCCAGGCATAGGAGGTAGTATATTCTTTGTCCCACCTCAGTTTCTACCCTGTACAAACAAAAGCAGAGAACCACAAGTACATCCATTACCTTATGGTTCTTGCTGCACCAGCTCTATGGCTACATTGTATGTTTATCTGAAACAAATCAAAGGACGCCTAACCCAACATATTCTACAGGGGAGGAAAAACTGAATCCTCAGATGCAGACACTGGTCAGAACTAAAAGCAATTCATAAAGAGTGTCTTTTTCAAACTAGAAATATCATCAAATGAGAGATGCATCTGTAATTGTGAAGAATTATCTCATTATTTAAATATCATTATTATCTAAAAGATGAGCTTGGTAAATTAAATAAACCATAAATAATTAGAAAATTATTTTATAATTCCATAAGAATTTCATTTGTACAATATGTTCATAAAAACCATTTATTTTGAAAAAATAATTTCTGCTTACCTTTTTTGATTTGGGACCCTAAAAAGTTGGAAAACAAAATAATTAGCACATTTTACAAAGAATTCAGATACTTTCAACAAAGCACCACAAAAACTAAAATGAAGACAAAGACAAAACAAAACATTAATTAGGAGAAGCTGGGAGAAGGGCCCAAGGGAATGCACTTTGTATCTCCTTTGGATCTTTTCTGTGAGTCTTCAGCTACTTTAATCTGAAAAGATACTGTAAAAAGAAGTCAGAACAAACTAAAAGTCCATGCAGGAAAACCCACAGGATTTCACCGGAAGTCTGTGGTAGTCAACACTACTTATGTCAAGGTGTTTACAAAATGAAGCCAGTCAAAAAGCGACTGGTTGAAGGTTCCCCAAATCCCCACAAATTACTGAGTATTGGTACTATTTCAAATTTGCAAATGTGGGGCTGTCTCATAAAAGAACATCTCTATTACATACAATTGATGGCTTTTATGGGTAGGAACTCAGTTTTTTAAAGTTTGCCAATCAGCGATAAAGTGAAGACTGTCCAGCCACATGGTTGAAAGTCATTCTGCTCTTTTTGGAAAGCTCCGTATTTCACTACTAATTGACAATTACAAGTATTTCTCAGTAATACTATCTGTAAATTCCTGAGCAGTCTTAGAGTTTGTGGGAGACTCTGTGAATATAGGTTACATATTTCACATATCTGAAGAGCTGCACACAGGAAATACTGCTTCAATGCATAAGAGCATTATTCTACACAAGTGTAAAAGTCAGCACACACCGAATGACATCTTCCTGAAAGGTGCACACATTTCAGAAATTCATTCCATAGACACTTACTGGTGAGAGAGTAACAGTGGGGGCTTTGCTCTCATGTGGTTTTCACAAATGGTTTTTATCCTGGCTATAATATCCCCATTCACAATGATTAGCATATTTCCATCTTGAAACAAATACTGCATGGCAGACTATGTTAAACATCCCTCTCAAGGAGCCTATCTTAAAGACCATGGGCATTTTTTTTTAATCTCTCACTAATATTTCTAAAATGAAGCAGGTTTGGGCAAAGTTCCACCTTTATTTATTTATTTATTTATTTATTTATTTATTTATTTGCTTTTTTTTTTTAAAAACCACCTTTATCTTTTATATAAACATAAGTGCTGTCAAGCGATATGACTGTTCTCAAGACTTAACCAGGGAAAGCTGCCCTGATGTGTTTTTTGAGAAATTCGTACTCTTGGACCTATGGAGTCCCTTCCTGCATTATACTTCCCTGGATCGAGGGGCTGAATTATGTATTTTCGGATCCACATTCTAAAATCTTAACTTCTGGTGTGTCAGCATTTGACTTGCTTAGAAAAATGCTCCGCGGGCATCTCAACAATTAAGATGACCTCATTTTGGAGTTGGGTGAGTCTCTGGATCAATATGGCTGGTACTGGTGTAAGAAGAGGATTCTTGGATACAGAGCCTCAAAAAGAAAATAAGCATCGTGTGGGAAAAGTGAGGGTGCGCTGCTATACACGCAGGCACTCTTAGAAGCAGAAGAGAGATCTGAATAAATCACTGGCCCCAGGCTCACAACCCGACCTCGGATGATTAGTCTCCAGAATGGCGAGGCAGGCAGTTTCTGCTGTTTAAGTGTTTATGGCACTTTGTTCCCTGGACACCATAAGAGACAGTAGGTTTGAAGTGGTGGCTCCCTGGAACCTACATTTTAAATAAACCTCCCAAACCTGGCTCTTTTGAGAAACGGTGCTGTATGGTCAGTCTTTGAGAAACAGCGCTATGCAGATGTAAGAAAACGAAATTCAAAGTCACTCTTCGACGGAGTGTTTGTTCTTGTAATTTGCCAGAGTCTTAACTTGGTTTAGGGCCTACGGGGGTCTTGCTAGGGGGTTCCATTACCCATTTATTCCAGCCACTTACAGAAAATCCATATTTATATTTTAAAAGAGGTTGAAAAGCACCACTCCTTTCCTCTCTCCCACCCTTAGAAACGTGTTTACTCTGCTTCAGATGCCCCCGCTGTTGCCGTGGCAGCTACTCTGCTTTATTTGCCTGCCACAGGAGGGCTGCGACAGTCTCTCCTGCGTCTTTGGCTTCCAGCCAGCAAACACAAAGATTGTGCTCTGAATTTCCCTTAGCGAGTGCATTACATAATTAGTAGCTGTATTCTCCAAGTCCCCTGAGTGGGATAACAGACGCTCTCTTGATGGGGAAGGGGAAACGACCCACGTCGTTAGTTCCACGTTGATCTGGTGAAGACGTGAGAGTTGGAACACAAGAAAAACAAAATGGCAAGCTTTATTATATTGAATGAGTGCAGGCTGACCACCGAGAAGCAAAACAGCTCAGGTTCCGACGAAAGGCCACACAAAGTAGGTTCAAAGCAGAGCGCGCCATCCGCTGCCCTCCGAAAACACGCCTGACAGGTTGCAGTCGGAGAGCAAAAGCGGGAACGTGCATCAACAGAAGTTAGTGGAGCAGGACCAAGTCGGCCGGGCGCCTGACCACCCTCCGCAGCGCTGGGGCGAGATCTGCGCCCGCCCCTTCCCGTTTCCCTCCTTCTCCTGGCTTACCATGGGAGAAGAAAAGCAGCACCTTCGCCTGGGGAAAAGTCTCAACTCCGCCGGGCCGGAACGCTCCCGGTTGTCAGGGCGACAGGCCACGCCCACCACAAAGGCCGGCGTTCCGCTGAGGTCCGCCTGCGCAGTCGCACTGCGGCCTTCCGGCGAGAGTACCGCCCTGGCCGCGGACTGGTTGCCCACGCCCCACTTCCGACCCCAGAGGCGCCCTCTCTGCCGCTAACCCGTCCACTTCCGCCCGAGGGCTGCGACAGTCGGAGCGTTTACGGCCGCGGTGTCGCAAAGCGCTGGAGTGCGGCGGTCCGCGCGACCCGTCTTCCGGACCCCACGGCCGCAGGTGGTCAAGTATGCCTTGGGGCGGGCGGCTGGGCCTGGGCAGAGCTGCTTGGAGCGGAGGGCCGCGCCGGAGCCGGGCGGACCTGGGGCTCGCGGGCTTCGTCTGCCTCCTCCTGAGGGCTGGGGCACGGCCGAGAGCCGCCGCGGCCTGTAAAGGGGTTTGTCCCTCGCTTCTGCCGCCGGCGAGCTCTTCCCGGGGGAGCAGGGGAAGGAATGGCGCCAGCCCGCCACTAGCTGAAGCCACGGGCTCTGAGTGGCTCGCCAGGGGGACACTTGGCCACTTAGGCAAGCAGATGGGCTCCAAGAGGGTCGTTACCTTGAGATTAAAGTAAGACAGATTCTTCGCTGATTGTGGTGTTTTCGTTTCGCCCTTTTCCCCAAGAGCTGCCCATACGAGTTTAAAGTGACTTGAATTAATTCCCGGGCTAACAAGGCGTCTAAGGTCCAGTAAGCCCTTGCAGTCCCAAGGTCACCGACTGCTGTACTGTTGTGGCGCAATCTTCAGACTCTCAGCCCCTCCCCGTATAAAGAAATGGCACTTTAGACCAGCAAAGTAAAAGGAACTGAGTCAGTTTTTTGACCAGCTTAAGACCTGTCTAATCCATTAAACAAGACAAGATGAAGTACTTAAGTTATATCCTATCCCTTGCCTAGTTTACAATTTAATGTTCTATCCTGTACACGCTCACTGACTGTTCTATTTGGAAGTGGTTCTGACAGCCAGTATTTATGGGTTAAAGTTCTTGGTTGTGTAACAGTTATGACCTTACTGTCCTCCAAACCTAGGTGATAAGATAAAAACTTCATGCAAATTCAAATTTAGCTTATCACCGCGGACGAGTATGATAGTTAGCTTTTGTTTTTTTAATTAATCAACAAAGCAACCACTACTGTTTCATGATAGAAAAGCTCAGTCCTAAATAGGATGCAGTGTGGAAGAATAATGATCTTACAGCAGTGACTACCAACCTCTCCTAAGAGGGAAATGGAGAGTAGCGATGTGTTAGACCCCATGGTGTGGGACTATGTTCTGGAAGACTCTAGGCTGTTTCCTTAGTCTACCTGCAGGCTTTTTTTTTTTTTTTTTGGGGGGGGGGGGGGCAGCTGCTTTCTGGTATCCCCACCTCCAAACAGGGTTGCACAGGCTCCATCTCCTTTCACAACCTCTGGTACTGAGAAATCTGTCCGGATAGCTTTTCCAGTGCAGTCCACAGACCCCAGAAACAAATAATACACTGCCTCTATCTCCATTTTCCTTCAGCTTTTCCTCAAGTTCACTTGAACCTCGTGAGGCAGAATAACATCACTAAGTCCTCATCCTAGGAAATAACAGTGTCCTACTAAAATGACGAGCCCTTCACTCTAGAGAATCTTAATTCCTTTGCCCAAAGTCCCTAGGAAAAAATGATGGCACCTCCTCCCACATATCCAGGTTCTCAGAATAGTAGGTGACTTCTGCCGAACACTTATCATAACTTCCAAGACTTCATACAGCATTTAAGTTGTTTCCTAGTTTAGAAACCAAAGGTTTATCCCTGCAGCAAAAATAAACTAAAACTTCCTGAAAGTCAACTGTACGGGGGGGCTGGGTGAATCTTTTATTATTCATAATTTGTGAAAAAGCTATTGTGAAGGACAACTAAGCCAGGTCTCTAAAAGCCTTCACAAATTATAAACATCAAATTAAATGAGGCTGTTTTGCAGACATTAAACAGGCTGTAATTTGCTGTCAACTTTTATGTATATAATCTATATAATTTTAAACCACGTAGTTTTAAAAGTCATTTTTCAACAAGGTAGACCACCCTGGTAATGAGTCTGTCCCTATCCTCAAAATTGTCAATATCATGGGTTAAACAACTGGGTTTCCTCACCTTCCAAGATTTCACTAAATCTTCAGGAATAACATAAAATTAAAAGGGACAAGGAAGAGGTGACGATGGCAGTAAACTTTGGAAGCTGGAGAACATAGGTGACTATGACTTAACCCCAGAAAACCTCAGTGGACACTTTCATTTTCAGTAGGGAAACAAGCAGAATCAGTTAGGATCTGTACACTTCAGCACAACTCAAAACCATTCCACATGATTATTAGTATTTAAGACAGGGTGTTACTATGTAACTTCAGTTATAACTCTTCTTGAACTCAGGGCCTTCCCCTATCTCCGCCCCCACCCAGCTCAGCACAGTTATTTTTCGTTGAATATTATGCTATAATTTCAAGAATCTCCATTTTCTGCTAGTTAATTGTAAAATAACTGTCAATTGATCTTTTTTTAAACTACTCTGAAATTTTGTTTTTCTTGAATAATTCAGTCCAAAAGTTGTTAGGCAGCACTAAGCAAAATCAGCAGCCAAAGAAGGGATTTCGAAGGGCAGGATCCCTTGGGAATTCCAAAGAAGAAAAGCAGGTCGCAGGTAAAAGCTGTTTGTGCACAGCCTAGCCCAAAGTGTGTGTGTGGGGGGGGGGGGGGGGTACAGGCTGTTGGGAGGTAGGGCAGGGTGAGCTTTCCAGGGACAAGGAGGGAGAACTGAAGAGAACATGCTAGATGGTGACAGTGCTAAGAATTTGGGCATGGTAGGAGAAGTGATGATCCAGTAAAGTGAGTGTCTTGAGGATAACAGGAACTGGCTTGTTCACTGTTGGACCACGAGTGTTAGAATTATTGGCAGGGAGAACAGGGATGGAGGGCAGATGGGACGGGATGAGGAAGAGGGCTACAACTGGGATACAAAGTGAATAAATGGTAATAAGTAAACGAATAAATGTAAAAAAGAATTATTGACAGGAAGCTAAAATGAAAATAAACCCTGTCATGTGAGGAAACCAGATGACATAAAGGTCAACATAAAAACCACACATGCGTACATCCCTTGGATCTGCAGGTGCACACCTTCACTGGGTATGTGAGGGCCCAAACCAACAGTTCCCATTGTCCTGAGCTCCTAACAGTGATTGTCAACCCGTGGGCTCACCAAAGACCACTGCGTATCAGATATTTACATTACAATTCCTAACAGTAGCAAAATGACAGTTATGCAGTAGCAACAAAAATAATTTTATGGTTGGGTCACCACATGAGGAAGTATATTAAAGGGTCACATTGGGAAGGATGAGGACCAGTGTTAGTATGTCTTGCTTCCTAAAATAACCTATCCACGTGGTAGTTTGTAGATCCATATGCTACTACATAAACTAGGTTCCTGGGAAGAAGAAATCTTACAGTGCAGAGTCCTGGCAGGTACCTAATCAGGTGGCCAGAGCTATCACCAGCCTTAACGGCACTCAATGGAAATGTGCCTAGCTGATAAAGATGTAATGTGAGTGGTCAGAAATGGGGTCTAATGAGGCCTACCCCAGGCTCCTCTCCTTGGCAGCTCCAGCCACCTAAGGATAAAAGCCTGGTCAACACCATGGATGTTGCCTGCTCGCTGTGGAATTCTTTCCAAGTGTCCCTTTACTCTGTCTGTTATTGTGCATTCTTGTTAGGTGCCAGCCTCTTTGATGGCCCAAGCCAGTTTGTTAGTCTTTAACTTTCTCCTAGGAACAGCCTTCTAGATTTGGATTCTTAGTGTCTTCCAAATGATCAAGCCTAGCCTTGATAGCAGATCAGACAGCTCTCCTTTTGTAAGGAAACAGGCTTAGAGTGACCTGATCCCAGTGCCTAGATTACAAAAACTCTCAGCACAAATTACCGTTTCAGGGCGTAGGAGGTCTCCATGGGAAAAGCACTCACACAAGCAAGATCTGTAAAGACTCTTGTGTGTAACCCCAGTGTGGATACAGGGAGATCGTAGACGGGAGGGAGTCCATGAGTGAAGGACCAGATGTTTAAAGCAGCAACTAAGACCATCTCAAATAAGCTTGGGAAGACTGAGAGTTGAGGTCATGGCCTCCACTCGCTCAGGCAAGTGCATGCCTGCACACAGAAGTGAAAAACAACCTTGCCACTTTCCCAAAGGCAAGATCTCTGACTATGTAAGGTTTCAATGCAGTCGTTTGGGAAAAAAAAAAAAAAAATCTTCCTTTTCTTTAGGTATGTCATATATAAAAGTGGATGAATTCCACATTAAGTGAAAATGGCCAGTTCTTTACGAGGAGAAGTTCTGACTCTGTATAAAAATGTAAGTAATTATGCTGCCAACTTTTTATACATGTTATTATATAACATAGATTGCTTAGAAACGTCATCTTTCTTTTTAAAGCTGCTGTATCTTGGACGGGACTATCCAAAAGGAGCAGACTATTTTAAAAGACGTTTGAAGAACGTTTTCCTTAAAAACAAGGATGTGAAGGACCCAGAGAAGATCAAAGAGCTTATTGCACGAGGAGAATTTGTAATGAAGGAGCTGGAGGCCTTATACTTCCTTAGGAAATACAGAGCTATGAAACAACGGTATTATTCAGATACCAAAAACTAACCAATTGTTGCTACCAGCCTGGCTGACAGTCAGTGCCAGTTGTTTGTCTGTACCAACTATTATAAAATAATTCAATTTAAAATGGCAAGATACAGGATTAAAAAACCAAGCTGCCCTACTGTACTAAAATAGGTTTGAACCCATTGATACTGAGAGCTTTACCCATAATCCTTTCATTATTCAAAGCGTAACAGCACCTTTCATGAGAATACAGTTTTGAAAGAAAATATACCTAATTTTTTAACATGTTATAGCCAATTATTCGTAGTCTGTTTCTCCATTTACTGCAAATGGGTTCTGACAGGTTTACTCTTTAGCTTGTGGAACTTTTTTTTTTTTCTTACCTCACCTAGTGTATCTAGAATACTGAAGTCCATTTTCAAGGCTCTCTACAAACACCTCAAAATGATTTGAATGCAGTTATCAAAATAAGCCATACGAAGGGGACTCTGCCCTTAAGATGCTCAGCGGATGACTGGCACTATGTAGATACTGCCGCCCCTTAAGCCCCACATCACTTGGACTGGCTCTCACGAGGAGTGGTAACACTCCTGTTTGTGCTGTTAAAGCTGGTGTACTTTGTGTCTACCTGTAACCAAGCTAATGTGGCACTGGACCTAGCCCAGACAGGACTGTTTAAGCAAACACTTGAACGTTTATGTAACGTTCTTAGCAACTTTATAAATAAAGAACATTTCTAACTCAAAAGCTGCAAAAAGTGTCTGACTAAAGGAGTCTATCAACTACCATATGACATTCAAGTTTCATCTCCGTGCGCAGTGCTTGCCTAACAAACCTGAAGCTCCTCATCAGAGCCATAACCACAATTAAAATAAGAAGGCACATACTTCATAGTCACATAACTTTTTATTACATTACAATGAGTAGGAGCAGTACAGTTCATGACAAAAATATTACAAATTTCAGATCACTTCACAGCACGTACTCCTATAAACATTTAAAAGTTAATTTTAATTAAAAGAGTGGTCATTTTTAAATTTAATGTTTGATATGACCAACATTCCCTAGGTCAGCGCAACCAAAGGATGAAAACCAACTGGATCACACTGCATATGTCCCACAAAAAAAAAAAAAAAAAAAAAAAAAAAAAAAAAAAAAAAAAAAAAAAAGGAAAAAAAGAAAGAAAGCAAGCACAATGTACAAAATGTGCATGTTTCAGTTTACACTATACAAAAATAGTTAAAATACACTCCAGGTAAACATGTTACATTAAGAAATAGCACTAGTGAGAAATTGGCACTCAAATAAAAATGCAGACGTGTTTCCAACAAGAAGACAGGAGACAGCGGAGCTGGAGGCCTGGAGATAGAACAGCACACAGCCCACTCGGTTGGTTGGGGATGGCTGATCTGAAACTGGCATTTTTGCAGATAACTTTCCTTTTCCCAAATTCATCTAAAATGCCTACCACCATCCCAAGCAGGCACTTCAAACTATTAAACTAAACCACAAATCTCAATCTAATAACTATTCTTTGAAAACTAATGTACTTCTTTAGAAATAATTTCATATTTTGACAGATTTTTACAGCTACTGGGTATATCTGTTCAATTTTTCAATGCAGAATTCATGCTAACCAGTATTACACAGAAGTTATTAAGTATAAATTCACCTTTAAAGTAACTTTTGGGCTTTAAAAAATGACTACACAGTTATTAAGAAACCACTATTTTTTTAACAAATGGAGATTACTTTTAAATTTTTATTGCCTACAAAAAAAAACCCTTTCTAAATGCATATTGTTTGGGGAAAAAAATGAAAATCAGTGGAGTACAAAATGAGATGAATTTGTGCAAACTGTAACTTCTGACATGCCTCACAGAACATGTATGCATGTTAGGACAAAATTGTGCAATGGTGGCAAAGGTCTTGATAACCTGTAAAAGTTAAGATCTAATTTCTTATGCAGTGTGACTCAGTCAATAGAGCCTAGAATTCCTGACTGAAAATATTTGCTCAAATTGTATTTGACTGTTATATTCTTCCCACAAGTGTGTTAATGCCTATGACTGTAATTTAGTGTTGGTTTTCAACTTCAACAAGGACTTTAAGGCTATAGCAACTAGATAATATGTTTCTAGGATTCTTTCCCTTTAAATCACTACAAAAACCTTTGTTAACAAAAGTGTAACAGAACTCAAAATTTACGTAATGCTAATCACCACTACTTTAACTCAATGCCAAGAAACACTAAAAATATCTGATGACGCACTGCAGCTCCTTAAGTACACCTGTTCCTCGGTGTAGAAATGGGAGGTACTAACTAACTAACTGCACTAAGATGTAATATCCACCCAAAGAATTATTCTATGAATATAGTTTAGAACATTTCAGAAAAATAGATTAGGGGATATCTATTCCATTGGAAAAATGAAATGATTATATAAAGTAGTTTGATTAAAGAGATGCATTGGAATCATACCAAACAATTCTTGCTGAGCTGAGAAAAAAATAAAAAAATTAGGAGCCCAAACCCCACTCTGCAAAACTAAAGTCTTACACTCCATTATTTCTAAGTCACATGCCATAGGCCTTACTATGATATCAGACCGTGCTCAATACCACTGCCTAAGACTGTGTCCCTTCTTGGGGACAGCACATATCCAGAGCCTAGTGTGGCACCCAGAACATGACAAGCACTGAATAAATGCTGAGTAAACAAATTCTGGTTTAAAAAGCGAGCTTTCTGGTTGAAACTTTGCATTGTTCCCACTGTTACACTGAACTTATTCAAACAATGGGATCTACTCATCAGGATGATAGCTGGATGGAGATTAAGCTCCCCTTCCACTGGACTCGCTTCTGTCTGTGCACACTAAATTTAAAAGCTTCTGCTTAGGCACCGGTGGACCAGGCAGCAAAAAGGAAGTCCAAAGGATCAAGAATGAATTGCCGTGTTGGCCCTGAAAACCAGCTATTAGTTCAAATCCCACTACGGTGTCTATTGGACTATTTTAAGTCCTAGGGAAGGCCATAAGGCCATTTTGATGTACCTGTCTTAGTAGGCAATATTTATGGCGTTCTCCACAGCAGAAACAAAACTTGAAGAGGGGAATTAAAACTTTTAAAGGAAACTACACTAAGCCATGGGCATGTGGGAGACAGGCAGGAGGCCTAGCTAATGTTGGAGGGCAGTCCTGATTTGGAGAATGGATACCAAAATATAAACTTTACCTCTTGCACAATTTTGCCCAAGACTGGCAGTGAAGATGATAATCCATGTAAAAGTTACAGACTGTGCTGAGCTTGACAACTAGGTGTGTCAGTATGTAAACGGACTGTAAACTACACAGCTGTGAAGTTAGAGTCTTTGAGATGATTTACATGAAGTAGACAGTGATTTGCCTAATTCAGACTTCTAAAAGACAGACATCCAGTCCTCATGGTCCAGTGGTATTTCCATCTCATTTCAAATATCTGAAGGAATGCTTTAAGTGCACTGAAGGGATTGTTTTTGCTGGTAACTTATCTATTCTTAAAGCACTGGACAGATATTTTTAAATACCTATCAGATTTGGGAAGTACTTAAGAAATATTTGTTTAGCCAGAGTTGAGAGACTAGTCAAACCTGTATTTTCAAACTTTCTTACTTCATTGTTTTAAAGATTTACTCTCTTTTAGCCTCCTACCCCCAAATCTCAACCTTGAAGGTAACACTGAAATGTATTTTCAGTTATTTTGTTATGACTATAAAGAAAAGACATCTCTCGGTTTGTCAGCAGGTCTGTGACTTGGTGAGAATGCACTGCACTAGCTGTCAGAGTCTCCTCACCCCACCCCACCAAGCATCATGGCCAGCACTGAAAGCAGCAGTCATGCTCTCCACAGGTTCGCGAAGGACCCAGCCTCACAACTCTGGTCTCCTCAACACGTGCTAAGTTACAACTGTCTCCAGTCATCTTCAGCTTCACAACCAGAATTAAAACTACTTTCAACAACATAAGCTCAAAAAAAAAGACTTGAAAGTTAGGATAAGAACAATCTGACAAAGGGGGGTTATACTTAATTTTTATGAGAACTTTTTATACATGTTGAAGTTATTTAAATTATTACAAAAATTTAGTAGCACGTAAATATAGCCCAAATCATTACTATTTCATACTGGGTCTGCCTTACCAGGGAAAGCTATTACAGGAATCTTACAGTAATTTAGCTAACATGAAACTTTAATGGACTTTTATTCAATATTTTCCATTGCCTTTTTTTTTTTCATTTTTTTCCCTTTTCTAGAAAAAATATACTATTTGGGGGAGTGACCAAGACTAATAGCAGTGGAAAGCTAGAGAAAGCCTTTGTGAACAGCCTAACTACACTTACGAAGGCTGAGAAACTCTAGGACATGCTAGAAGTGCATCAAGGGAAGCCCATAAATCTGTGATCCCTCAGTCTTAGGAGAACCAACCACAAGTTCTCAAAGGAAGCTGTAATTACTAATGGATCCACTTAGTGACTAGCTGGAACACGGAGCAGGGATGGTTCAAAAGCATCATTACTCTGGTTCACACCAACGTTCACGGCTGGTAGGAGAACCAGCAAGGAATCAACTGCATGCACCAAAACCCCAAGACAGAGTCCCAGGTCTTCAGTCTCTCCACAGGCATTGCTAGTTTAAGTCCAAACCCAGGGAATGCTGGCACTTAGAGAGAAGAAGGTGTCCACTGTCATTTCAAAATAAGCATTTAAGATAAAAGCTGACAGTTTGCACAACCAGAAAAAAAATTAGGTAATGCTAAAACAAATGCTAATAATTTAGTGTAATGTACAAAAATTACCACTTTTACTTAAGTACGCCTTAAGAAAAAAGTACAAACTATTTACATAATTATACACCTTGTCTTTGACTTCTTTTTCTTCTTTTTACCATCTTTGCTCATTTTTTCTTTATGTTTTCGAATTTCTCGGACTAATGTATAGAAGGCATCATCAACACCCTAAAATATATAAAAAAAAAAAAAGAATTAAAATGTTAATTTTAATGTTAAAACATTAACATGATGACTTGAGGTGTCCAGATCACAGACTTTCATTTTAAATGGAGACTTCGGTACTCAGAGAGAATAAGTACGGTTTATGTTATGTTCTGATAACTGAATGGGCCAGACTTTTAGGATTAAGTATCTCTTCATGGATATTCTGACACTGACATTTAAAACAACTTTGCCTGTATGAGTGTTTTGCCTGCATGTGTGTGTACCATGTGCATACAGTGCCCAACAGACGAGAGAATGGGGCCTCAGATCCCCAGGGACAGGAGTCCCTGAACCTGTGAGCTGCCATGTAGGTGCTGGATGCCCACGTCCTCTGGAAGAGCAGCCAGTGCTCCTAAGCACTGAGCCAGCTTCCAGCCCTACTATTCTGATGTTTTAAGTAGAAACTGACTTTTACAACAGGCAGTGATAACAAGTGGTGCAGAATCTTACATACATGTAACAAATGACTTTTTTCCCCAAAAGGACTTGATTTCTACTAATTTTTCTGCACTAGCAAAATTAGTGTACCAATTCTCCATGCCCGCCTCCATGTATGTGTATGTGTACATATATATATATATACACACACACACACATACACATACATACATATATGTATGTATATATATATATATATATATATAACTCAATTGTCCCAAGTTTCTGGACTTTGGACAGTAACCCACGTGTCTGTAAGATGCTGCTCCTCTGACAATGTGCCCCTGACCTCTGAGGACTAGCAGAATCGTCTGATTGGCGGTGTACTTGACCACCCTGCAAAGACTCTCTTACTGTTTTTTAGTTACAGCTATTCAAGACTTGTCACATAAATACCCATCTTCAAAGAACATTGTTAAAAATGTAGAGCAGCAATGAATTTCCTCACATTTAACAAATAGAAACTGGGTAACGCCAGTATCATCTACTTGAATACAAGTGAATAAATACATATTGCCCCAAATTCCTAATCCGCACTCACTGGTGCTTTTCACCTTCTGAAAACCATTACTGATATAACACAAGCAATACCGTCAAGGCTTAATTAGATTGTGAGATCCACTCAGACAGACAGAGAAGAGAGACGACTTCCGTGCCGTGTTGTCCTTAACACACAGTGAGAAACCTTTCCAATGACAGCAAAGGTACCTAGAACTCAATGGCACTTTACGACCCCCGAGGCTTGGAATGGGTCTCCATGTGCAGATGTGTGAGGTGTGGGTATGTGGTGGGGGGGAACCTGTGCATTCAAGTGGAGGCCAGAGAAGCAGTACACTGGATCCTGCTCCACCACTCTCCACTGTCTACCCAGGAGCAGGGAATCTCAGTGGGACGGAGCGAGGCTGGTAACTGGCAAACCACACTGGTTATGTCTAGCCCCACCCCTACGCTGGGATCCCAGCTGGTACTTGGGCAGCTTTTTGCCTGAGTCCCAGGGATCTGAGCTCAGCCTTAATGCTTGTGCAGCAAGCACACAGACTCGTTAGCACGTTCACCGATGAGACCTACCTCCCAGCCCTAAAGATGGAGTCTTATCTAACTCCCTTATCCGTTATGAAGCCCCTTTGACCACACATTATGCTATCTACTCTATTTCAATATCCTTTTTAAAAGTTGCATGCATTTATTTTTCTGTTTGTGTGCATGCCATGGCACAAGTGTGGAGGTCAGGGGACAACTTGCAGGTTCTCTCCTCTCATCAAGTGGATCTGAAGGATCAAACTCAGGTCTTCAGGCTGGATAGCCATCTCATTGGTCCTCAAATTATTTTTATGTTGAAGAAAAATAGCAACGATACTAAAACAATGGTGCAGAAAAATAAAAATCCTGAGAAAGATAATTTTTAAGATAGAATAATATACAACCATTGAAGAGAAGGAAGAGAGAATCTGACAGCCTTTACCCTCTTGTCAGGCTCTGACAGTATGTCATGCTGCAGCTACATTCATTCTGATTGGATGGCGTCAATGTTGGAGAAATGTCATAGCTAATGTGTGCAGGCAGTGCACTCCTTGTCCTCATAGGAGTGGGTTCTCGTATAGTCACATCCCATACTCTGCTAGTTATTTTGTTTAGACTTATCCTTTTTCTAGGATAAGTCTAAAACTAATTTATATATATATTTACCAAACTGTAATTTTAAATATCATAAAGTATACTTTTGCGTTATGTAGAAAGTGCCATGTGCACTAAAACCACAATGATTCATTTATAGGCTCCACCATTAATATTTACAGCAGTCACTGCTGCAAACTGCATAAAGAGATATTTAGAGAAGAGTGCTTCTACCTTTGTCTTGAATACAATGTAAAGTGTATGACAGTCTGTAAATATTCTATTTTAAAATCATCTAAGAGTGAGGGAATAAGGTTAAAATTACCACTTAAATCTGATCACGGCTGTTATTTCAAAGTTTAACTTTTCAAATTGCATTTTAATGTTAAATTGTACTATAATTTCTAAAACGGAAGTATGGCTCTACATAATCATAGAAGTTGTTAGAGTTCATAATCCCAGTAGAATCCACGCAAGTACAGCCCACTGCTTCTGCACCTACATTTCTTCCTGCTCTTAAACACTGTTGACTGACTGCTTCATGTCCCCAAGGAAACAACAGCATCCAGCAAAAGCACAAACTTCAACATGAGGTTTTATCTCCTCACTGAGTGAAGAATTTGCTGAGCTAGACAAAATAATATTAGTTTAGATAGAAAAGTGAAAGAGTCCACTCAAAAGTATCTATGTGTCCAGAATGTTAGCATGCAATGGGCACGCAAAGATTAACATATATGACCCAGCTCTCCAGGACTCTATTGTCTATTAAAGGAATGGCACATAAGCTATTTCCATGCAACATAGGAAGCCATATAATTAAAAATAGGATATTGTAAATACACAAAGCCACAATGGCCACTTTAAGGGGTTGAAGAGGCTTAGAGACAAGGGATCAAATGTTAGCCTAACTAATCAAACCAGGTTACCTGGTGACCCAGACAAGAGGCAGGACTGAAGGAAAGGCAGGAGTACCATGGTGTGTGTATATGTTGGTATGTGTGTATGTATGGACAAAACTTGCAAGATGATACTGTTTTAGGCATAAAATTCCACAAGGCTGGAGAAGAGGGAGGGTGTTAAGAACCATACAAGGTGTGTGTAGAGGAACTGGCTGTGTTCGCTGTGTGAATCAGTGACTACATTTACAAGTAAGACACTGCCATTCCTCTGCACAGGGGATGACAGTAGCTACAAGTAAATAGCAAAGGAGAAATGGGAAAGTGTAACAATGTGACAGAGCAGCAGCATGGGATCTGCAGCGCTTGGAAGTGGGTGCAGGCGCACACAAGGCACCAGGTCTCCGGCGCCCACTGCAGAGCACAGGCGCAGTAACAGTAAACTGGGCCGGCCATCTCCTACCTCTGGGCCATATTATTTTACACACTTTTCACTCAAAAGCTGCTGGCTATCTTAAAACTTACATAAAATTTTCTTAAAAATAAATTATCAGTTCCAAATGCTTAGCTTACTTAAAACTAATGAAATCATCAGAGCTTATGACAAATGTAGACTGGTCTACTGTAGCCATCTAAAGTTGTCAATTATAATTGATGATCACATTAAAAAAATAAATGTACTCATTACAGAAACAAATGACAAGTTTCTTATCTCTTAACACTTCAAAGCAGAATACATCTAAGTGGTTCTGACTGCTTTGTTACCTTTGAAAGACATCTGCTTTGTACCAAAATGAATATGCTGAACTTACCAGGTTACATTACAATGCATTTTTTAATTTTCACACAGCCAGGAGTCTTTTCTTCTTTGCTGATTTTTTTCAATCTGTACTGTCGGATCTCTCTCACCAATGTATAAAAAGCATCCTCCACTCTCTGCATTGTAAAACACAACTTCTTTAAAGTCCGTTTCATTTGGAAGAGTAATTTACTGGGATAGCCATGTGTAAGAGTTTGAATTATGAGCTCTACAGTTGAGATTTTTTTTTTTAAAGCAGACATTAGATTGAATAAAATTGAGGATGCAGCTTTAAAACATGAGCTAAAACCTGGTTTGTTCTTTTTTTTTTTTTTTTGGAATTAAGAGTTAACAATTCTTAGTTAGGAATCAGGGGAGATTATGAAAATACTACCTATATTTATGTGTTTTTTGATACAATAAAGTTTGGTGAACTGCAGTTAAAGCTGAACTTTCCTTGGACACAGGGAAGATATGTGCTGGCCATACTCCACTGACGCCTACCTTCCAGCCTGTGAGACACAGAGTATAAGGCAGACTAGGGACAAGAGGACTTGCTAAAACCAAACCCAAAATCCATGTCCCAACCAGGGTGATTCCAGAAACTGGGACTCCAGTTTCCTCTTCAGTTAGATACTTCCTAGTCAATTCTCAGAATTCCTAGGTCCCTAAATCTAGGAATGAGACTGCTACCACAGTTTTTTTTTTTTTTCCTTTTTTCTATTTTTTATCTACCTACCTGCCTACCTATCTATCTGTTGATTTTTTTTTTTCAAGACAGGGTTTCTCTGTGTGGCCTTGGCTGTCCTGGACTTGTTTTTTAGAGCTAGCTGGCCTCCAACTCACAGAGATCCACCTGCTTCTACCTCCCCAAGTGCTGCTGGAAATCACAGAAGTTAAATGAGAAGTTAAACAGGGGCCATTTCCCAAAACAAGAAAGCTCCACAACCATTTGAAATATGCAAACTAGGGGCAACACACTGGCCTCCTTACACAGTCTCCAACAGCCTACAGAGCACTGTCCAGACGACACTGAACAGTGTCTGTGTGCTGTGTGCCTTCCATTTTAATTTACATGCTCTACCGGGGATTCTTTTAGTTATTTTAGGTTCTGCTGTATTTATATGCATGAGTATTTGGCCTGCATGTATGTCTGTACATCTGTCCACACCTGGTGCCCTCCAAAGTCAGAGCAGATCAGCTCTTAACTGGAGTGAACCGCAGCTGTGTGCCGTGTGGGTGGGGAACTGAACCCAGAGCCTCTGCAGGAAGAGCGCTTGTAACTGCTGTGCCATCTCTCCAGCCCCTCTAGTGAGATTTCCTGGTTTTCGACTATGGACTAAACCTATGACAAGTAGAATCATAAACAGCCTTGAAAAGTTTTAAGCTTTTTCAAAACAGAAAATGAGGCAACAGCCTAAAAGGTGCAAAGTGTTTATAACTGTTACGCTAATTTCTTCAGGAAAACGCACCAAAGTGGAAGCTTTCCTCTAAGAGCAAAGCCCAGAAACTTTACTTTAAACTTTACAGCTTCAGATGTAATATTTATGTCCGTTATTCTAAAAAAAAGTAAATAATCAGGAAAGCTGGCATATTTTACTACATGTTTAATTTTAAACTTAACTTCTTTCATTTTAATAGTGATTTGTTTTAAGTACGCGACTGGTGTATTTTTTTATTTTCTACAATTGGTAAGATCAATGTTTCCATAATACAGCAAAACCTTAAGTTATAATTGTAAATTTAACCTGGCAGACACAATCAGGCAGTCAGGGTTAAAACAGCTTTAGGTTTGTGCACGTAAGCCACTTGCTGCATCCAACGGTTAAGAAAAAGAGGCTATAGTTGTTTAGGGCATATTGAGTTTTACAAACCTCTACAGTGTACTTACTGCTTCAGTGAAGTTCAGCAATTTGCCTATAAAATTCATAAAATTAAGAAGGCATTTAAATAATATGATTCCATATTAAAATATATACTTCCAGCAAATCTGTATACCATCCAGTAAAAAATACTCATTTAAAATGATCAAATAATAAAAATTATTATAGCCACAGAAAAATATTCTGTGTGTGTGTGTGTGTGTGTGTGTGTGTGTGTGTGTGTGTGTATGTGTGCGCGCACATGTGTATACGGTGCCTTTGGAGGCTAGAAGGAGGCACCAGATCTCCTGGAGCTAACGTGATAGGTGGGTGCCAGCTACCAAAGTCAGGTCTTCTGCAAGAGCAGCCAGCACTCATCACTGGAGCCACCTCTCCAGCACCCCAACCCAATCTTATTTTAATGGAATAAATTTAATCCACTAACTACTAATCTGACTAAGAAAGAAAAAATCTCAACTTTTAAAAATCATCAAATGTTGGCATTTTAAATAAAATCCCCACTTGTGTCTGTATGTACTAATCTTTAGTAGTTTTATCATTCATTCTTAAGGCAAAAGCTTAACTATTAATTTGCTCCTCAAAAATGTATCAGAAATGTTCATATTATATAAAATAAGTTATTCAAGACACATGACTTAGAAAGCATTTAAAAGGTAAAGTATGGCTGGTCAATTTATATTTTTATAAACAATTATCTTCTTTTCCTTTGAAGCCAATAAAAGACTCCATATACGCATACATTTATTTACACAGAGAAAGAGACAAACCAGGCAAAAGCTCATATTTTCTGAAAAATCTTAAAAGAATGTAAATCTTTAGTTCTTTTTTAAAAAGTTACAATGCCAATGTAGAGGTCACCGTGCTATGAAGGGAGGAAAAAGAGGGCATTTGTCCTCTAATTTAACAGAAGCAAAATCTGATTGTAAGGTACTTCTGAAATCATTTTGATGTGTCTGCTGTTTCCGTGACAGCACCCCATCACCGATACAAGAATATCTGATTTCTGTCTCCAGCAATGCAGAGAGAAAATTGGAAGCCAATAATTACAGAGACAGCTGCCCATCACCAAGAATTGAGTATTGGGATATCAGTGGCAAAGATAATAACAAGAAGTAGTTACTACAGAAAAACTTTCTTTCTTAGCTTTACAAATAGGAAATTTAAATTCATAAAAAATTATTTACCACATTTTTGCATAGTTAGTTATTCTTGAAAATATGCTTCAAAGTTGACATCAAGAGAACTTGAGAACACTGTTATTTATCCTTGCCCTACCACTAGTACTGGCCCTTAATTTTAACTATATTTACTTGTAATTCCTTTTTTAAACGACGAGCTCTGACAATGTTTTCAACTCCAAGCAGACTGAGACTATGGAAACAGAGCAGCAGCCCCATAGAGACCTGTTAACACACAATATTCTCTATCTACTCTCAGTAAGAGTGTAATTTATTAATTACTTTGTTCCCATTGAGCCTGTAACACTTCTTGCAGAGTTCTGTCAAAGGAATGGCATATACATGTAGCATCAACTATGCCTCTACAAAGATGCAAGAATACGAGCCTTCCGGGGGGAGGAGAAGGAATGGAGAAAACACGCTGAGACAATCTCTTGTGTATTGTATGGATGCGACACCAGTCAATAAAAAACCCACGGCCTACAAGAAAGGGTAAATGTCCAGTAGGCAGAAGGGATTCTGGGAGAGAGCCAGGGAAGATGTGAGGAGGACAGAGGCATGGTACCTGAGCAGAGGTTAGCAGCCATGGGGCAGATGGAATACAGATTAGTATAATGAGTTATTTTAAGTTATGAGCTACTCAGAGAAAGCCTACCTATATGGCCTAGATATTTGTAAACATATTTTGAGTCTCCTGAGTCATTATTCCGGGAGCCTGGGGCTGAGAGGAAAAACCATAACAAAACCAAGCATATTTCTCAGTACTAACCTCACATCCCTAATTTTTTCCTGAAGAAACCCTGTCAAACTATAAACCATCTCATGTACAAGTGCACTTCTAACTCATAAAATTTGAAAATACTGTTTCCACGGCCCCTGAGGTTTTAAATTTGTTTTGCTTTCTTAAATAGCTTTATAATAAGCTTTCTTTCAGAGATGACTTCTGTCAACTAATTATATATGTCTAGAATTTAACAAGCCAAGAAATTAACCAGTATTGGGTGATTGGGAAACTTTACAGTGCTCAAATTGAGCCCACCAAATGATAAAAGGCTGCATCAGCTATTCTGAGAACCCTACTTGTCCTGTACCTGACCCCCATTCACTCTGACTTGTGGGCTTAGCAGCCTGGCAAACTCACAGCCTTCCTCAAAGTGTTCTGTGTTTCAGTCCCAACAGTCTTTCCTGATGCGCTGTCCAAAGGAATCAGAAAAATCTGTTAATGACTAAGTGTCTTGATAAATGTGAAGTAGCACTCTTTATATACTAGAAATACTGGGGACACATACTACAACACCAGCAAAAACTTAGCTCTTTTATCCTTTCAGATAGAGATTGGGAGAAGTACAAGACACAAAAAGCAGCTAAGCACAATGCCGCACACCTATAACCCCAGGTACTGGGGATGGGGACGCAAGGGGTCACTTGAGCCCATTAGTTCCAGACCATTCTGGGCAACACAGAAAGATCTGTCTCAAAGAGGGCAAAATACACACACACACACACACACACACACACACACACACACACACGCCCAAGTATGCACACAAACAAATCTAGTAATTATTATATATTGGCAGGATGATATATATTTTAAGTCTGCAAGTCATGTATTGATAAAAGTACATATTCTGCAACCCCTATCTTAAAAAGTAGTAGAATATGCCTTCTTTCATTAAATATACAAATTTCGCTTTAAAATGAGAAAAACTGCGCATGAATTTTAGGTTAAAGGTCTTGTGTCTGCCAGAGTCTCGTCAATTGTGCCCTAGAGACTAGTACACTACAACCTACAGGCCAGTACAGGCAGGGAAAACTGTTCTGGTACAAGCTGACAAGAAGCTTCACATGTTCAAGGCTTCTTAGGGAAAAGAATGTGTAAGGTACCACATTATTATCTGGGCTTGCACAGAAAACACTTGCCATGCCTTGATTTATACCTCTGAAAACTTATGAATGAATGTTCAGTTCCTATTACTGTAAATAGAATTCTTTTGTGCTTCTGTTAAGCTCATTAACAAGAACAAAACCTCAGGCAGAAAAAAAAAAAAAGATTACCGACAAAATACATAAGGACATGTATACTTAATTAAAATAACAAGCAAGATAGTAACAAAATACTCCCCAAAAGGAGCTTCAAATTTTCACAAAAACTGGGGAGGTAAAAAAGTATTGAAATGTACATTGTAAATTACTAAAATTATTTGGAGTAACTCTTCAGAATCTTCTCAAACTTTATAAATATTAATTTCCAGAAATAGTATTGACTTACAGCAAATTAATTTCTAAATAAATCAACAAGCCCACTGAAAAGTGATATCTAAGTTATAGCTTAGCCACATATTGTTACATAAAAGAAATCCTTAAATTAAGATATAAACGCAAGAATGGCTAAGCACTGCTTAGGAAGTTCCTATATTATCTTACCTCTGTACATGACTCTGTAGATGACTCAGATTATCTAAAAAGCAAACTTAAGTTCATCTGTTTCTGTACCATATACCTTTTAAACTGACAAAGTGAGCTGGGTGTGGTGGCAAATGCCTGTAATCTCAGCACATGGGAGGCAGTCAAGAGTTCAAGGCCAACCTCTCCTTCATAGTGAGTTTGAGATTTACCTGGGCCGTAACTAAATACCAAACAAAAATGAAGAAAGCAAAACCATTTAAAAAGATATAGGTGTGTGTGTGTCACAAAGCAAATGTTAAAGCTAGAAAGCTATTTTAAAAGGAAGCCAGGTAGTGTTCTAATCAATAATGAACACTAATCAATAATGTACACTAAAGCGTTAATGTCAAACAATGAATTAATTAAATGCAGTTATCTCAGACTGTTACCAGGTGAGACACTAAGAGCTACACTTGGCTACACTGAGATGAGACCAAGAAACTCCTTTCACTGTGTTCTACCGCCTTCCTGCTAAAACTGCAGCCTGCCTCCCAAGCCAACCCTACCCGACAGGGCAAAGCAAGCAAGTCACGGCTTCCCCACAGGTTCACTGGACCACAGTCCTGGCTTTAATAAGGCCAGCTGACATGCGTGCATGCCAAGTATGACAGTCTTCTGTGTTGCAATCAAGTCTCAAGCTTTTCCTTTTCTCTGGGAAATGTCAACCACAATATGCACTAGTATGAAAGGTACCTTTACAAGTTTAGACATTGCAAGTAGCAAAGGGTTAATGGTAAAATCTATGTAGTATGTTTTCAATAAAATTCCTTACGTTTAATATTGAATTATTTCATAAGAAATGTTAAGGAGAAGTTACAGATATTATAATTATGTTTTCTGAGCTGCTTCTGAAGAAAATCAAGAAGACCATGAAACAGGAATAGAATCAAACCTCATCTTTGGAATGTGGGATGGACTTGAATGAAACAGCTCTTCTACCGTGAAGCCAAGTGATGTATAATATCAAGTCTCTGTAAGTCAACTGAGAACAAACTGGTACACAGAAGAGGCCATGTGATGGTCACACTACAGAAATTCACTTTTTAAGAATGCCCATTCACTTTATAAATACTCCCTCACTTTAATCAGAGCTTTCTCCCGAAATAAATAGATCCTCAAAAACTTTCTGCCAAAACATAATTTTTCAAATACAACATTTAATCCAGAAACAAATTTTTAAAACTGCTTCTAAAATAGGAAACTCAAACTTTATTCCATCATTCTTTGTCATTATCATCTAAATGTAAAATATTTTCCACATTTCTTGAACTCTAAAAGTAAAATATACTCTAGGCAGAAGAAAAATTTCCAATATGAAAAGAAAACAAAATACCAGGCATAGTGGAATACACCTGTAATGCCAGCACCTGGAGGGCAGTTATGAGATTCAGAGTTTAAGCCCAGGACCCACAGTAAGAGAGAGATGGGGGTGGGGAGGAGAAGGAGGAGGAGGAGGAGCAGGAGGAGGAGGAAAGGAAATCCGAAGTAATATCATGGTCCTTGGAGAAGAAGTACTGTCCACTCTAGAGAAGACATTTGTAAAAGGAACCTGTATTTGTCTGTCTCAATTGATGTCTCTGAGGCTTACTGCCTCCTGCTAGCCTAGGCCTAGTCCTGGAAGCTTCTAGCCTCCATACGATCTAACCTAGGCCTAGAATGTTTCCAACCTCTGGGACTCACTTCTGAATAAGCTCACCCTTTTCTTGTTCTTTCTGAGCTCTGGGCTGGCTGGTTCAACTCAGCTATTCTGGCTCAAACTCTTCTCCCAGCTGACTTATATGATCTGGCTTCTCTCTAGGCCTCTGATCTGCTCTGTTTGGCCTCAAACTAACTCCACAAATCTTTTCTACTCTTCTGGCCTGTTTCACCTTCAACTGTGTTCTTTCCCTGCCACCTGTCTCTCTATTACTGTCCCTGTAATAGACAGGGACTTCTTCTCTTTCTCTCTGCATGGCCCCTTACGAAGCTTCCCTTTTCTTTCTGTTCTCATGAGAGTTGGGCCAATCTGTCAAGTCTTTCTGTGATTTGTCACTTTTTCGGCCACTTAACTAGATATCTCTTTCAAAGATGGGTGCTTCCTTCTACAAACTATCTAAAGATAGTTTACCTTCATTGTTTGGGATTAAAGGCATGTGCCACTAGGCCTGGACCTAAGCTTTTCTTTACCTGAAACTTGCTCTATTACCAGGCTGGCCCTGAACTCAGATCTGCTTGCTTTTGTCTCCTGGATTAAAGGTGTTTGTATTTTAGCGAGATCACATGGACCTAGAAGGTCTTTGGATGTGATCTCTTGCCAGATCATCCATGTTCTGAATTAAAATTCCTCTACAGACATTTGCCAAATAAACATTATTTTCTATGCTAGAATAAAGAGTGGTGAATCACATGAAATGATTAACATGTAACAATTGTGCTAGCATACATACCCCCAAAGATGCCATTAGGAAGTTAAGATTAGTGGTTAAAACCATTTGAAACATTCTGCAGAATACAGACTTACATTCATTCTAGTTTTACTTACCTGTCTTGTCTTTGCTGAGGTTTCAATAAATGGAATTCCATAACTTCTTGCTAAATCCTGAGCCTGTTTTGTGTCTACTGTTCTAGAAGGCAAATCACATTTATTCCCTACTAGGACCATAGGCACATCTTCAGAGTCTTTTACTCTTTTAATTTGTTCTCTGGGGAAGAAACAAAACAGAAACGTAAGTAACACAAAAAATATTTCAAACTTCATCCTCAACTTCCATTTTACAAAACTTTACTGAAGAGTTTCTTCATATGAATCCTAGCTTCCACTTGGCCAAAATTTCCTCACTTCTCTTAAGTCTTTTCCCTCTAAGACAAAAATATTATCTATCTGCTCAAAACTCCAGTACTGCTACAATCTCAACCACCACAGAGAGGGTTCATTCACATGCAATATGAAACAGTAAGAAACATACTAACATTTCAAACCAAAAGTGCTATGCTTAACATTACCTTAGACCCATGGCACATAGACATGTTTATGTACACTTAAAAATATGTTCATCCACTAGGTATGGGTATGGTGGCTCACACGCCTTCAATCCCAACACTCGGGAGGCAGAGGCAGGAAGAGCTCTGTAATTTCTAGGCGTCTGGTGTTTATAAGTGAGTTCCCAGCCAGCTAGCCAGAGCCACATAGTGAAACCTTGTCTCAAGAGAAAGTTTGTGTTTCTTTTTACCCAAACATTTATCAGCACCACCTTAATTCTGACAATTCAGAGGACAGTTGCTTACTATCTGTTGGCAAATACTCTGAGAATCCTGAACAAATGTTTGAAACTGGGGATAGTACCAAACCCTTCATATACTATTTTCTCTTATATGTACATGTCAACAGTATAGTTTAATTGACAATTTAGGTATAGTAAGAGATAATAAAACAAAAATTGTTAACAGTATGTAATAAAAGCTAATCAAGACTTAAATTTCCATTTCATATTTTCAGACTTAGGTGAGCATGAATAAAACATCAGATAAGACAACGGGTAAAAAGGACTACTGCACTACTCGGACAGAAAGACAATCATTGGAAAGATTGATTTTAGTTTTAACTTTTAACCATGAACATGTGTATGAGTGTGTGTGTGTGTTTGTGTGTGTGTGTGTGTGTGTGTGTGTGTGTATGCGCGTGCGCACACGCGCAAGCATGTGCATGTGAGTTCAGATGCCAGTGGAGGCCAAAAACATCAAATTCCTTGAACCTGTACTTAAGACGTGCTTATGAGAGGTATGACATGGAGACTGGAGATTAACTTGGGTCTTCTAGAAAAGCAACATATGTCAGTAACTATTAAGCCGTCTCTCCAGCCCTGAAGACTGATTTTCTTAAAAAGAGCAACACTAAAGGAAAATACAATGTGAGTTCTGTTAAAAGTCCCTTTGCGTGTTGCTGTCAATGTAACGTTGAAATAAATCCTGAATTTGGAATAAAATCGTATTCCTCCACGATCCCTGCAAATGTCTAAGACGCTGCATGGAAGCTCCGTAGAAGCGGCTCTCGTTCCCGAGTCTTCTGTTGACCAAGTGCACACGCTACAGAAAAGTGCTTTCCCAACCACTGCCCCCAAGCCAGGCAACTGCTCCTCCCTTCTCCACTAGGCTAGCACACTGCTATGTGGCACAGCCAGGAAGGGTGCTAAGTGCTTAATAGTCAGTGTAATGACTGTGAAGCCCTGAAGGAAAGAATGTAAAATATATTTCAAGTAATGAGTAAGTAATCTTATGTACATTTTGTCCCACTCTTAAACTAAAAACCAGCAATTGCTCTAGTTCTTCAACCTCTTAGGCCATCTAAATGTATTTTTAAGAAACCACTTAAGGCCACTACTTATCTAACCAATGAAATCCTGTAATAAAATATGGCTATTTTTAAGATCATTTGGGTGGTACCATCTCAAACCATCTTTCCATGTTTCTGTTACTGCTTGATGTATCTACAAGGGTAAAAAGCCTTACTTCTCTAGTGTAGGGTATGTAAGAGCACAAAGGTCCTGGCATCAGACAGGCCTGCTCTCAGCCAGCACTACTGCTCTCTGTACAAAGTGGGACAAGTTATACAACGGCTGCAACCCTAAGAGCTGCATGTGTAAAACAAAATTCTGCATACTTGACATAAATGTTTTCAAATTTAAATCGATCATACAGGCATAACAATTAGCAAAGAATCAATAAATGAAAGCTTTCATTACTTCTCATGCCAACTTTCATATTCAACTTAAACCCACCTATAATGGTGAATATCTTCAAATGACTTAGTATTATTTATGGCAAACACACAAAGAAAGCCCTCCCCAGTCCTCATGTACTGGTCCCTCATTGCACTGTATTCCTCTTGACCTGCTGTGTCGAGAATATCCAAGAGACAGGTTTCTCCATCAATTACTACTTGTTTCCTGTAGGAATCCTGAGAAGGTAGAAACACAGTCTGATTATTACAGCGTTATCTTTTAAAAGGTGTACATAAACAACCCAGCGATAGATGACCCCCGTTCAAATGGGCAAAGCACTTCAGATAATCTCCAAAACAGACAAGCGGCCAATAAGCACTTGAAGACATCATTAAGAGAAATGCAAATCAAAACCATGAGATGCCATTTTGTGCCCATTAGGATGGCCACTGGCAAGCACCTCCAGAGGCAGAGGCAGGCATAACTCTGTGAGTTCAAGGCCAGCATGGTCCACACAGCAAGTTCCAGGCCAGCCAAGTCTACATAGTGAGATCCCGTATTAATGTAACCCTGGCCAAATACAAAAACAAAAAAATCAGAAAACAACATGTTTGAGTATTAGGAAGGATATGGAAAAACTGTAATTGTTAGCCAGTACTACTAGGAATACTAAATGGTACAGGCGCAGTAGAAACACAGTTTGGCTTTGAAAATTAATGTAGGATTACTGTATGGTCCAGCAATTCAATTCCTAGGTATGTATATCCAGAAATGAAAGCAGAGACTCTGTACCCAAAACATAGAAACAACTTAAGGGCATACTGAATTACAAATGGATAACCAAAATGTAATTATGTAAATCAATAGAATATGGTTCAGTCATAAGAAGGGAAAATATTCTGAAAACATGCTACAACAAAGGTGAGTCTTGAATACATACGCTAAATAGCATAAATCAGAGGAGCAAACATTTCATGTATATTAGACACACAGAATGCAAATACTCAGAGAGACAAAAACAACAGAAGTTCCCCCAAGGAATGAGGGAAAGACAATTAAAGCTGTTGTTTAATGGGTACAGAGCAAAAAAATTTCTAAATGCAAATAATGGTAATGGTCACACAGCACTGTGAATATAATGATGCCACTAAACTGAACACTTAAAACCAGCCAGTGGGTTTGGCTGGAGAGATGGCCTCACTGTTAAAAGCTGGGCTCACAACCGAAACAAACAAACAAAAAAAGGCCAGTGGCAAACTGATTTACACACACAGGTACATGCACACTCACAGCACATATTCATACACAACAGGTGTTATATAAAGACTAAAACTTGTAATTGTATATATTAAATAAAATTTATTGAATATTAATTCTATGAAATAGCTCTCACAACTCATAGTCATGATGACTTAGGTGTCAAATCAACTAATTTATAAATAATGAGCCCAGATCATCAAGCTTGATGGCTAGTGCCTTTATCTTCTGAGCCATCTCACCAGCCCCAAGATTCATGTCCTTGACAGAGATAACTTTTACAGAGATTCAGCTCCTGCTTGTCTCTCTTTTGTAATGAATACTATGCTAAATATATTTTTTGTTTCAATTTTTGCTTTTACTTCCTGAATCTGTTTTCCTGATGCTGTGGCCTCTTCTACTTCCCAAGTATTGACATACAGGTATGTCCCGATACCCACCAACTTACAAACTTGACAGTAATAACATAAAATACCAGCTGCCTCTGCAGGTGTTTTGTAAGATGTTTCTGTGATGAACATTGCAGCCAAGGGACCAAGACACTGGGAAAGCAGTCTTACTTTGACCCCACTCTGATCCCTGCCTGACAGTACTGACAGCAAAATTCTGAGCCACATGCAGTTGTCATCAAGGACAGTCCACAGCCTACTTGTAACAATGGGTTTACGTCAAACATTCAGTCGATGCAAAGCTCCTTTAACTGCAGCCCGTATCCTGAAGCATGCAGTTCCTGTGCTACATCAAAGACAGGGTAACCTGACAAAACTAACGGTCCAAAGTGCTACATAACAAAGTGTGATCTGGAAAAAGCCACAGGTCTGAAAAGAAAGAAAACGCAAGCACAACAAAAGTGGTGTTTAGGGCTGGAGACGTGACGTTCAGCAAGTAAAGGCACCTGGCACTAAACCTGCCAACCTGAGACTGGTCCCAAGATGCCACACAGTGGAAGCAGAGAACCAACACTTATGATTTGTTTTTTGACCAATGCGTACACTATAGAGTGTGAACACAAAATTAATAAACTAACTTAAAATTACATATATGCTAAATATTTTGTTTCAATTTCACGTTATTGAGAAGAAGTAGGAAAAAACAAAACTCTGTATAAACATGGCATCTAAAATCCCAAGAGGTTTTAACCGAAAGCTTAACACACTTTCCCACAGGCCAAGATCTATCTTGCCCACTCTTCTGTCTCCCCTAAGAACTAGCTCTTACACATTCAAATGATTCTGAAACCAGCAACTCAAAGTCCCCAAAGATGAGACAAAGATCCATGTAGCCCTTACAGAAAAGTCTGCCAATCCCTGTGGGTAAGCCAGTAAAATAACTTCACAAATTTGAAGAATTCTGAAAACAATTATTCCCTTCATTAAAAATAATCACCATATTATTAACATACATATTACTAAAGCTCAACCAATCTAAAAAGATTCTACAAGAAAACTAGTTAATGATGGAGCAAAGAAAAGCACCCATATTTCACATTTTAAAGTAGTGTTATCTCCTGCCTTCAAAGAAGGTACACCAGGTAGTAAGTTACGAATATCCTCAGGAAATTAGGACAAAATAAAGTCCCTTAAAGTCATTCGGCCCAATAAAAGAACACATAAGGGAAAGTTATTCTATGTACCCCTTCTCAGCAGCAAAAGCACCATTTTTCCCATCTGTGAAGCAGCATAGACTTCAAAGTGAAATGTAACCTGCAGGCAAGAAGGCCCTGCAGGTGGAACAAAAACACTTCTGGTGATCAAATGAGGCACACTTCTTCCGGAAAGCGATGCTGCATTTACTTAATGCAGCACACAAAAATGTACAAGGTAGCTCACAGTACTGCACCATTTATCTATTTTCCAAATACTTCATAAACTCAGGCGCCCACCCCCACCACACCCCATTAGTCAGCCCTAGTGTGCACACACACACAGACTCGGACACAGTCCATGGCGGCTGCCTTGTCTGAAGCAGCCACTGGTATGCTTCCTGTACTCCCAGGATTTGCTTTCTTCAGGGAAGCGGAGAACCGCTCTTAGAGGACTATCATGTCGCCTGCTTAGTCTCTCAGTACTATCCCCTTATATCTTAAAAACAGCATCTGAAGAGCTCTTCTCCTCCAGCATTTCCAGTGTCTTCTTTGTGCCATGCTAAGGCCACGCCTGCCCACCGCCCATTAGGCTTTAACCTTGAAAGTGGCAGGATTACACCTATTTTGCTCACCAAGACATGCCAGTGCTAAGTCTTAAATATGGCAGAAACCAGTAAATATCTGTTGAATAGAGGCATCTGTTTAATATAAATATATGCAAATACAAAAAACTAAATATAATTTTAATTAAAATTGCATTAATATAAACACAACAAATTGTTTTTAAGATTGTACATCTTGCAAATATTCTATGCTAAAGATACTGCTTATATGAAGTGAAACCATACAAAAACTATTGCTTCCAATGTATTAGTTTGCAAGGAGAGTTTTTTTTATATCAACAGTTCAGGTTGAAATATTTTTCAGTATTTTAAAATGTTTTCTAAAACTGTAAGTTTAAGATAATTTTTTAAAAGATGAATTTTAATAAGATAATAGTCATTTTTAATTATAAAATACTAACAAATTTAATATATAGTATATAATGTTGACACAATCAGAATAATATGTACTATTTTAGAACATTTACGATATAGAAAAGAATAAGACTGAGAAAGCTGAGTTTTTCAAGTATTTTAAATTATGGATCACGAAGACTGACATCCAATGAGGTACAAAGGTTAAGATATGACAAAACAGCCAGTCTTTGAGGCGCACATCTGTAATCCCACGGCAGGAAGAGGTCAACTGAGTTATTACACAGTGAGTTTAATACTAGCCTGGACTACTTGGGAAAACTCAGTATATTTTAAAAAAGAAAAAAAGTTCGTGACTAAAAAGCCTATGCATTATATCACTTTCCCAAGCAACAATGAGAACACACCCACTCGTCACTAACAAAGATTTTGTATTTCAATTTTTAAATAATGTTTTGATAAGCTAAAAACTCTTGTGGCTTTATTTGAGGAATAATGTTAGGCTTTGTATCTTCATAATTCTGCTGTGCCATGCCTTGTTCTCTTTGCGTCTTTTTCATATTAACTTGTATGAGTTTTTAAAAGTGTTTGCCCACCTTTAACCTTTCAGTGAACATAAACTTTATCTGTAGAACCATTAAGAGGAATAGTGGGGGGAAGGTCACTCAAGACAAGACAAACCCAATGACCAGAATACAGTTTGTGGTTTCTAGTGTAGCTTAATTATACTGAGCATGCTCATTTTTCTAGAATAATCACCTGGAAAGACAGGCAACAGCAAGCAGAAAGCGTAAGCTAATGGAGCCTTCACTGAGCGGACTCCCACTAGTATTAATGGTGATCACAGCAGCCGATAAGTCCTGAGCCACTTCACCCAGACGGTGCAATACGCACATTACAGGGACTATTTCATTCAACAGCACTGCTGAAACGTCAGTTCCTGTGTTACTTGGGGATTTACTTCTGCAGTAGTTTGCTGTTTTCTTAACTTGTATTAAAGAACTTTTCACTGCTGTAACATCTACAAGGGAAATTATGAAAATTACTTTCTGTTAATGGTCCAGCACTCAAGATTTGAATCCATTAAAGAATGGTGTGTACCATACCACTGCTTATTACGGTCAGTTTTCAAAGATAGCTAGAAACATACAAGTGGCTTGATATGAATAATAACAAAACAAAATTGAGGAGCCAAGGCTGGGGCTGGGTGGCACATGTCTGTAATCTCAGAACTCACTCGGGAGGCTGAGGTAAGAGGTCAGAGTCTAGAGAATTCAGCTCAAGGCCAGCCTGGCTGCATGAGACTCTTCCAGAAGTCTCCAATGAGTCGCAGGGGAAGGGAAATGTGGAGTAAACAGGCTTCTAAGTTCAGTCCTACCTACTCTGCTGTACTCCAGGGATAGTTACTGCAATCCTG